CTGCTCTCTGCCTCTAGGCCCTTCTCTCTGCATGGTCATCCTCTGGGCTTTTCTGCAGTCTTCCCACACAGCCATCCTCTGGGCCTCTGTCCTTGGCACTGCCACCACTCCAGCCTGGGCTTTGCTCTCCTGCAGCCGTGCAGCCCTGCCACCCTGTCACGCTCAGAGCACTGGGTGGAGCTCTTTTTATAGCGTCAACAGCCATGTATTGCCCACAGCTGTGCAGTGAGCTAGTCAACCAAAGCCAGGTGAGAATCCTGGCCACAGGAACTCTCATTTTATCCACATGCCATCCCTCCAGGATTCTCTCCTCTCAATCTATGTGCCCTTAGTCCTCTGTAATGGTCCCTGTGCAAGGAAGCTCGAACATTGTTCTCCAGCCTCTCCAGCAAAAAGTCTTGCAGACGCACAGGCCGGATTCATGGCTCTGTCTCTGACCTCTGCCTCTTTGGTCTTAATGGCTGGAACTGCTGCTCTGGTTTCAGCTGTTGCCATAGCTCCAGTAAGATCCTGTTGGACTTCCCATCTAATGTCCTTCCATCTGCTCCTGCCCATATTAAATCAACCCACATCTGGGTCCTCGTAACCTTCATGGGGCCCTGTAAATTCTTCTTGTGAGTAACAGGTCTTTCTTTCCGGATTCTCATTGCTTCAGCCTCTCCTAAGTCTGCTACTGTACGTGTCACCTTGCTTATGGGATGCCCTACATGAGGGGAAAGAATGGCCACTAGAGACCCAAAGAGGGATGTAGGAGCCATTTGAAGTACAATATTTCTCATCCCAGTAGTGAAAATCTCTTTATCTGGGCCATAATTCTCTGGACTATAGATGGCATTTCTTATGCCTAGCTCTCATAGCACCTGTTGGAGCTCAGCATACATCTGCCATCTAACAGGAGAGGATGGCAGATCACCCAGATTGGGCCACACAGCACGAAGTGCAGCCATAAGCCAGTCAAGGAGGGGGTGACTCCCTGGGGTCTGATGTGCATTTCGTAATCGCTGCCTCAAGGTGGGCTGCACTGTCAGGGAAGACAGCTTTCCCTTCTCTGATCCCGACAGAACAATCCCATCCACCCCTAAGTCCCACAGATGCAGGAGCCAAGCTGATATTGACTCCGAGGGCTTCTGCCTAAACTGGAAGGTCAAATCCACCAGCTCAGCCTGAGTATTGGGATGGACCATAGAGTGCTCCATGACCTGGGGAGGGGGCTGCTCCTCTCCTTGGGGAACTTTCAGCTGCTGGGTCTTTTATTTTCTGTACAACCACTGGGTGTGCTTTCAATACAGGAGGGACCAGTGCCTCTGGCATCACCCCTTCTTCCTGCTCCAGCTCCTCCATTTCTGGGGCTAAGGGCACCTTTCTCTCCCCTCCCCTGAGTGCCTCCTGTGCTACAACCTTTACCTTTTCTACTGTGCCTCTCAGCAATGCTACCTCAGTCTTCAGAAGGTCTCTTACCTTCAGCTCAATGCTTTGCAGCTGATGTACTTGTGCCACCTCCGCCTGTGCTTCCCTCAGGAGTTCATCTTTTTCCTTGATGGCCTCTTCCTCCTTCAGAGCACCTGGCAGTGCTGCCGTCTCGTCTCCAATGGCACCTTGCTGCTGGCGCTCTCATGCTGCCTCCTCTCATATCGATGCCATCTCTTCAGGGAATCCACAGAAATTTGCAGCTCACGTTCTCATGCACCTCCTCTCGCATCAATGTCATTTCCCTCCTCAGGGAATCCACAGAAGTTTGCAGCTTGCATTCTCATGCCACCTCCTCTCGCATCAATGTCATTTCCCTTCTCAGGGAATCCACAGAGTTTTGTAGCTTGTGTTCTCATGTCACCATTTCTTGGGTCTTTTCTGTAGACTTTTTAATACTATGAGAAGCAGCCAACCCACAGTCCCTGCTGCCTCCTGGGCACTCTGCTTCTCAAAGGATCTGCTTACTATACCAAGGGCCACCCCTACTGCCTCAGGTGTCACCTCCACTTGCCTCCAGTCCTGAGGTGGGGCCCAGCCTTCTGGGAGGCAAGCCACCTCAGACCACATACCCATTGGGGGACGATCTACTGTTTCCCCATTCACAGGGGCAGCCCACTGAAGCACCCCTCCCATAAGGGCAGCCTGTCTTTTTCCTTGGTCAACAATGAGTTCTGCTGACTATGCCAATTGTCTTGCCAATGGGTTTCAGCCCCAGGCAAGTTCACTGTGGATTCAGTGTGACCAAACAAATGACAGTAGAATGTTCTTGGGATGAAAGAGTTATACCCAACTTTATTTCCAGGTGGCAGGTCAGTCACTAAAATCCTGTTCACTCAGAGCAAGTCTGCATGCAGCAAGCTGGTCCCTGCCTCTGGGCCCCTCTGTCCACACAGCCATCCTCTGGACCTCTGTCCTCGGCACTGCCACGACTCCAGCCTCTGCTCTGCTCTCCTGCAGCCTTGCAGCCCTGCCACCCTGTCACGCCCGGAGCACTGGGTGGAGCTCTTTTTATAGAGTCAGCAGCCATGTATTTCCCACAGGTGTGCAGTGAGCTAGTCAGCCAGGGCCAGGTGAGAATCCTGGCCACAGGAACCCTAATTTTATCCACATGAGGGTAGCACACAGGCTTTTTCCAACCCAGCTGGGCTGTGTGACTCTGGAGCTAAGTGTCAGCTAGGGTACCTCACTGCCTCCCGGTGGCTCCTGGGTCTGGGCACTCATTTTGGGAAGAGTCAGAAGTCAGACAGGAGTGCTTTTTGTATTAAAAGAAAAACCTAATAAGGGTAGCCCATGTGGATCCTCGATGCCATGAAGAAGCATAGCAGCATCATTTCTGGGCTCTCCTTCTCGTTTGAGGGAAAAAACTTGCAGGCCTGTGGTCTGAAGGGTTAAGCTGGCATCGTGTGGGTGTTCCAGAGCAGCTCCTTTATAACCAGTAGTAGGAAGAATAACGATTTTATATCTTAAAGAGACACCAAAACAAATATGTTTAAAGTGATCACTTATGCAACATTGGTGTAAAGATATAAAACTTCAGCTAAACTTTGGGTGCAGTGTCACCTTGCTGTCAGCTATTGTCAAAAGTCAAGAGGCCTGCTAAGCCACTCAGAGCTGCAGGAATCCCCAAATCCTCTCCATGATGTTCTAATTTGAGGTTGGCTGTAAGCTGCTTGAATTATTTTCCCCACCTTAAAGCCCATTGCTCCTAGGATTAGCTGTGACAATTTTTATTTCCTTACCTAGGGAACACCAGGTCTCAGAGCTGAAGTGTGACTGCTGCCACCCTGCCAACTCATTTGGAAACGGCCTTGTGTGCTCTTGTCTAGGTGGACAGTGGATGCGAGATTCTGCTGAGTGTAAGGGTCCATGGTGATGATCTTCAGGTGGGGTGGACCTTGGCCAAGTGCTGCTCTCCTGAGGATGGCTGGAAGGACCTATTTCTTTTCCCTTTTATGTCTCTCAAAGGAAGATGAGGCTACCTTTTCCAGGGTTAATGGCCCTGCCTTTGGGTTTCAATAACTCATCCTTCAAGGTTCTGATTCCGTCTTTCCACAGTGGATTTTTAAACCATCGTTTTCCTTGACCTCACTAAAGTAAGCCCTGTGGACCATTTATTTAAACTGGGTTTATTTGGTTCCTGTGACACTCAGACTCTGGCATTCCCTGTGGTTGGTCTCCTGCCTGTAGGTGCGCTTGATGACAGATATCATTTCTCTGTGGGCTACTCCCATGGGCAGTCATTTATCCAGCACTTGTTAATTTGGTGCCCCCCCGTATCTGGAGCTGCTGGAGATAAAACAGTGTCTCCCCACTAGGGAGTCATTCATATAGGGGAGTACAAACAAATGATGAAGTTTCCAGAAGGACTAAAAGCAGACAGTGGAGTGAGGGAGCAGGTGGGGGTAGAGGCTGTCCTGGAGGTTGGTTAGAGAGGCCTCTCCTCAGGGGTCGTGCAAGGTGACCACTGAATGGTAAGGCAGAGTGAGCCAGATGGAGGTGTGTGGGGAGTGTTCAAGACCTTTACCCACAGCCCTGCCCTCTGACCCTGCCGTCCAGACTCTGCATGGAACTTTCAAGGCTTTCCAGCTGTCTCTTAAACTCTGTCTTCTGTCCCATTGGGAACATCCTGTGCCCTGGCTCTCAGTACCTGCCAGGCCTCCCTGTGTCCCCCTGTCTGATCCCCATGCCTGAGTAGCTGTCATCTGAGTGCAGGCTGGGTGGGTGACCTGCCTCTGCCGACTGGGAAGCCCTCTGACAACTACCAGTCCCTGTGCTCCAGAGGAGCTGGCAGGTTCTGTAGTGTGAACACACAGTGATGCCAGCCAGCTGATGGTGTTTCTTCCTCTCCCCCATGCAGGCCTCGTGCTGTCTCCCAAGGACCATGAATGCCATCGTTGCTCTCTGTCACTTCTGCGAGCTCCATGGCCCCCGCACTCTCTTCTGCACAGAAGTTCTGCATGCCCCACTTCCGCAAGGCGCTGGGACTGGGGACAGCCCTGGCCAGGGCGAACAGGCCGAGGAGGAGGAAGGTGGCATTCAGATGAGCAGTCGGATACATGCTCACAGCCCAGCAGAAGGGGCCAGTGCAGAATCCAGCAGCCCAGGGCCCAAAAAGTCAGACATGTGTGAGGTAAGTGTCTCCGGGTGATGAGGACTTTTCTTCCGGTACAGGGGTTTGTGTCTGTACTGTGTGTTTGACCTCCCAGGGGTGGACGGGCGCCCCCAGGGCAGTGGGCTTGGCCTCGGGAAGGGATGATCTTCAGGGGATGTGCACAGACTGTTCTCTGTGGGCCTGCAGAGGTCTTTGTAGTTCTTCCCCTTCATCGCAGCTCTAGCTTTTCCGCAAACTGGGACAGCAGCTGCCACCTTGTCCCATCTGCCTTCCAGCCCGCCTCACTATTTGCTCATGTGCACATGGCCCATTGGAGGCTCCAGCTTCCTTAGCCTGTTGTTCTTGGGGGCCTCCTCGTGGGGTCCTGGGTGGTAGTCTTGTGTTGTTCTATGGTTCTGGGAATGAAGTTGGAAGTTCCCTCAGCCAGTTGCTGCTTCGTGCAAAGGACCTGGATTGAAATCCAAAATGGGTAATGTTGGACCTGCCACTGTGGTGTGAACAGGAATCCAGCTGCTTTAGTTTGGTTTTGCTGAGAAGCAGATGGTGTGCATAAGGTTGACTTATTGCTGGAAGCATCTGTGAGGAATCAAGGGAGATTGAGTAGAGGTGGGGAGAGTCTTGCAGCTGCCTACAGATCTGATTACCCATGAAGGGGAGGGACTGGGCAGGGAGGTCTAGCCAGCGTCCCAGAGCTGGTCTTGCTGTGTGGGAGGAGTCCTGCCTAGCCACAGGCCCCTCTGGTCACAGGCCTGGGGTGGTGGCAGCCTCTGGCTGCACCGTTGTGATGGCAACTCTAGGGGGCAGCAGCCTAGGCTGCCCGTCCAGTCCACCCCGCCTAGCAGGGGGCTGAGCCAGTGTTCTGGGCTGCCACGCTAGCTCTGGAGTCTGTGGCGTCCTCCCGAGGTCCTGCCAAGCGGTTGTGGACAGACCAAGGATAGAGGCCAGCACAGAGCAATGCATGAGTCGTGTTGCAGCCCTTAGCCTATTGGGCCCTCTGTAAAGTGGGACATTCTCGTGGTACTTATCTTAGAGGGCTGTACGTGGGTTAAATGATGTGATGTATGCAGAGCTCTTCACACCTGCCACATTCCTGCTGGGTGACTTCTGTTTCTTATTCATGCCCCCTGACAACCTTTGATCTCTGTGCAGGAACATTGTGACCTTGAAATGAGTGTACCTCTAGAAGCCAGTTATTTTTGTATGAGAATTTGTTGAGTTTTCTAGTTTGGATGCATGTAAGGGTAGGGAAGTTTTTTACCTGCTTCCTAACTGACTGATTTTTTCCTTCTCACGGACAGGGCTGCCGATCACTTGCTGCAGGGCACCCGGGGTATATCAGCCATGATACAGAGACTGCGATTAAGTACGTCAGTCACCAGCACCCCAACCACCCCCAGCTCTTCAGCATTGTCCGCCAGGCCTGTGTGCGGAGCCTGAGCTGTGAGGTGAGCCCAGCAGCCCCAGATGGCCCCTCCCGGAGCCTCGCTGCAGGATGCCCCAGGCGAGCTCAGCGGGGCTGATGGAAAGGAAGGCAGGAGTCAGTCCTGTCTTCAAGGGGATGGGCAGGTCCATGAGTGGGGCAGGGGGAGCCCCAGTTCTCCAGAACTTCACAGTAAGTCACGCAGGGCTCTAATTGTCTAAGCGGTTGCTAGCTTATCATTTTAAGCACCAGGTTTTTGTTATGTGTCCATTCTTGGTGGGCTCATTTCTGAGATATGAGCTATTTCTAGGAAATGTAGCTTACTGTATCAGATGGCACCTTATTTGTTCTCAGTCATCATGTTATCCCTTAGTAAACATCATGTGCCCTCAGAACCTACTGAAGTTGTTCCTAAACTACGTTGCTGCTGCTGTTGAGATTGAGAATTCATAATCCGGTTATAAAACCTCCCACTCCTTCCCCACTTGATCAGACCACTGAGCCCCTTGCTGCTAGTTTTCACTTACGTTGCTGTCTACCTATCATCAACTTTTGCCCTTTTTATCTCCTGCTGCTGATATGGTGAAAGGTAGATGACCGTGTCTGATTGGATGGTATAAAAGCGTGAATGACTGTGTCAGGAGAGACCCCTGTATTCTCTCCAAAGATAAAAGTATGCAGAGTTTCTTCTTTGGCCGCTACAGAGACCACCTTGACCTGCCACTTCTCCAGTGTATTTCAAATGAGTGATGCTGGCAGAATTGAGTCTGGGGTAGATACAGTACTTGTTCAGGAGTCAGTCATGACTCAAGGGCAGGAGGGCACTGACACTACTTGCCCTTGTACTCCATGACAGCAGGTGTTGTCTTTACAAAGTCTGTTTCCAGGAGCAGAGAAAAGTAAAGGTTTCCTCTTACTCCTGCCTTTCTCACTCGGTATAATTAGTGCAGCCTAATGAGCGCTGAAAGGGAAGTCTGAGGAGGGGGGTTGACTTTGTACGGCAGGAGCCGGGAGTGAACGGTGTGCTGGGGGGCTGTCTTCCCTAGGTCTGCCCCGGCCGGGAAGGCCCCATCTTCTTTGGGGATGAGCAGCATGGCTTTGTGTTCAGCCACACCTTTTTCATCAAAGATAGCCTGGCCAGGGGCTTCCAGCGCTGGTACAGCATCATTGCCATCATGATGGACCGCATTTACCTCATCAACTCCTGGCCCTTCCTGCTGGGCAAGATCCGAGGGATCATTGATGAACTCCAGGGCAAGGCACTTAAGGTGACACCAGATGAATGGGGTGCAGGTGGCAGCTGGGGAGGAGCTCTGCAGCGAGGGCGGGTCAGAGCAGGGCAGTTTTGCTTCCCCCAGGGCTGCTGCGGCTGCCCCGCCTGAAGGGTCATCTCCTGGCGTCAGAGGTAGGGTGTGGCGGTAGGCTGCATGGTCTGCCCCGCTTGCTACATGGTCTGTCCCGAGTCCACTCTTGTCTGGATCTCTTCAGCTTGGGTGCCTTTCCTGCAGCCAGGTGCCCTGGTTTTATCTCAGGACCTGTGTCCTCGGGCCTGCATTTCAGCAGTGTTGCAGGCTCACCCTTAGCCTCCGGCTTTGATAGGCCAGCGAATGCCCTCAAACCTCAGTGGCTTGAGACACAAAGCATCTTGTTCACATTGTGTGAACTTCATGGAAGAGGGGATCTGCCCCTCATGCCCACCTGGCCCGCAGAGCAGCAGCTGTGTCGGAGTGCCGCTCATTTCCCCTCAGGTGCACAGGGCACTAGAGAGCCTGTTTCTCTCTTGCCTTGTTGCCAGAACTGGTTGTGGGTCCCGCCCATGAGGGGTCTCAGTGAAGGCTTCCGTGCGCCTGGGAGGGGGGCACTGGAGGTACTTGGAGAACAGTGCTAGCGGCCCCTTAAGCACCGTGCCGCCTGAGTACCCATCTCATGCCCAGTGAGGTGGCCATAGGGGAGGGTACAGGAGAAATTCTCAGATTCCTCTTCTCGAGTGGCTTCTAATCGAGCTGGGAAACAAAAATACTCCATTTGGAATTGTGAAACTAGTGGCACTGTATGTACTCTGGGGAGCAGAATGTACAGTGCTTTGGAGGGGGATTTGGGAAGTTTGACTGACTGAGCTGGGTCTGGGCTGCTCGGCTGGTTTTGTTTGTTGAAGGGCTGCCTCTTCCCTTTGTGCCCCAGGTGTTTGAAGCAGAGCAGTTTGGGTGCCCTCAGCGTGCCCAGAGGATGAGCACGGCTTTCACACCCTTCCTGCACCAGAGGAATGGCAACGCGGCCCGCTCGCTGACATCCCTGACAAGAGATGACAACCTGTGGGCATGCCTGCACACCTCCTTTGCTTGGTGAGGAGGCTTTCAGAACTTGCAGCAGCTGTTAGGAGAGCAGTCACAGTGTGCTGCCTGGAGTCTGCGCCGACCTGGGGACCACCTGGGGGTGGTCGGACAGGTGCCCCGTGATGTGTGCTTGTGGGGGAGCCCTACCCTGGGCGGAGGGCCTCCTTTTCCTTTAGGTGTCTCCCCAGCCATGCCGAAACCACGTTTAGGTGGAACTTCCCAATGATACTTTTAAAATGATGTTCCCGTACAAGGCCAGTAATCACCGTTTTTTCGTAAACAACAGTAAACATTTATCTCACAGCTTCTGTGGATCAGGAATTGGGAAGTGGCCTAGCTGAGTGGTTCTGGCCTAAGTTCTGAGGAGTTCTTATCAGCCAGGGCTGTAGTCACCTGAAGATTTGACCCTTGTACAGGGCTGGCCAGTTGGTGCTGACTGTGGGCAGCAGCTCTCAGTTCCTCACCATGTGGCCATGCAAGCTGATTTCCCCAGAGTGACTGATAGAAGAGAACTAGGTGGGATCTGCAAGGTCTCAGCCCAGCCTCGGCCATCACACACGGTCACTTCCAGCATGTGTGGTTTGTTGGAAGTGCGCCATGTCGCTAAGCCCAGGCTGGTCAGGAGGGGATTAGCCTCTGTGCTTTGAAGGGAGGAGGGTCAGTGAATTTGTGGACATGCCTGAAAACCACCACAGTCTGTTCTTTGGCCACAAATTCTTTCTGTTTATGTCTTTGCAAGGTATACTCCTTCCAAAGATGCCCCAGGTTCTCATTCCTGTGCAGTGTCAGCTTGATATCTGGGTTTTCCATCTAAATCAACGCCGGGTGTGCTTGAGGCTCCCCAAATGTAGATCCTTGAGTGTAGCTCCTGAAGACTACAAACTAAAGAGAAAGAATATATCAGTCTCCCCACCCAACATAGAGTTGTTCCTGTCTTTTAAAATCATTTTTATTTGGGAAATTTCCAGATAGACCAGGAGTGGAATAATATGGTGGTCTGCACATCCCCTCAATTCAGCTGTTGTAGCTATCAATATTTTACTTTTCCATCTGTCCCTTTGCTGTGTTTTCTTAGAGTTTTTTTTTTTTAATTTTATTTTGGTATCATTAATCTAAAATTACATGGAGGACATTATGTTTACTAGGCTCCCCCCTTCACCAAGTCCCCCTGACATCCCCGTTCACAGTCACTATCCATCAACATAGTAAGATGCTGTAAAATCACCTCTTGTCTTCTCTGTGTTGCACTGCCTTCCCCGTGCCCCCCCCACACACTATACATGCTAATCGTAATGCCCCTTTCTTTTTTTCCCGCCCTTATCCCTCCCTTCCCACCTGTCCACCCCAGTCCCTTTCCCTTTGGTAACTATTAGTCCATTCTTGGGTTCTGTGCTTCTGCTGCTGTTTTATTCTTCAGTTTTCTTTTGTTCTTATACTCCACATATGAGTGAAATCATTTGGTACTTGTCTTTCTCCACCTGGCTTATTTCACTGAGCATAATACCTTCTAGCTCCATCCATGTTGTTGTGAATGGTAGGATTTGTTTTT